AACCTCAATGTTAAGTCTAGAAACAGATACTGTTCCCTATTCTCCAATAAAAGACTTACTGGCGGAAAAAAAAACCCAGTGACTAGTAATCAGAAACCCTGGACCTCAGCAGTAGCAAATGTCTCTGCAGGAAGTGGGGAAAATCTGACTGTTCCTAGAAAAGGGTCCAAGCAGAGGAATGAAGAAGCTATACAAACAAGAAGATGAAAAGGTTAAGGAACTGAGGAAGATGAGTTACAGTACGGTAGTCTAGAAGAACAAAAGAGTTTCTACGGAGCCTTTCAAACCAGTCACTCATAATTACTCTATGCCCTTGGTGCATTTTCAGAACAGAGGTAAAAGCCCAGTAAATAAATAAATAAATAAACTAATAAAGCTAAAATAGTAATAGTAAAAAAGCAAGTGATCCCCGTTTTCAATATCAAAAGAACAAAGTACAGCACCCTTAGCCCATAAAGGTAAAAATAAAAAGGACTTGATTTTTCCTTTTTTCACTGCTTCAGGTTTCAGAAGCTGAAGGTGCTCTCTGAGCTCTTCCCAATGCTCGTTCAAATTAAACAAATATAACACGAAATGGTTTGGTGATGCCAAAAGAGGAGTTTGTCTTTCAGGAAAAGGCAAGACAATACATATTGAAACCTGAAACAAGCCTTGGCCAGGCTATGGGAGAAAGGGGTGAATAGTCAAGGAGGAAAAGAAGACTTTTAAAGTATGACTTCACTAGGCAAAGCCTGGTGGGCGCTCAGCTGTACTCAAGTCTGCTAGGAGAGACTACCTTGCAAAAGCAGGACTGTGAGCTTCGGCAGAAGGAAAGAGAATGATACTGCCTACAAAGGTCTGGAGAAAACAAGCCTACTGTGCTATGGATTATTTTCAATAGGGAAGCGAAGAGATGAAGGGAGATAGAACTTATTTTTCAGCAAGATACACAAAATTTTGCCAGCAGATTTTATGGGACATAAAGGTAAAGAGATTCTGACAGAAAGAAATCTAAATCAAGAAGGACCATACCAAGGAATAACAAAGGAGTTAAAAACATGTCTAACAGAAGTAATCGTTGTAATTGAGAGAATTGCTCAACCACATAAGGTCTTGCTGTTAGGAGACTATTCATGTATATTTAAACAAGACACTTCTTGCTGACTGAATCATAGAAATGACCTCTCCATGATATTGTGATCTTAAGTCATTTACCTGTAGCTTCTCCAACAAATCCATGTTTTGTCTCTTCAAATGACTGTTTGCCCTCTCCAGCTTCTCCAAGGGTTCACCTTCGTCACAGGGACTCACATTTTCCTGCAGCTCATCCTGCAGAACATGGTACTCTACTTCATAGGCATGGAGCTGTTTTGAAATATCCATCTCAAACACCTGTCATGAAAAAAAAACCCGATTCTTAACTACAATAGAGAGCACTTATTTCACATAACTATTTGGCTAAGAGGCAACTCTGCTTGATTAACTTAATGTTTTTTCCTCTTCCTCCCAAAAAAGTATTTTAAGGGGAAGTCTACAGTAAGAGCATTTTAGCATGTAAAGTTCTTATTGTAGCCATAATAAACCATAGACTTCAGAATAAATTGGATCACCACTTTTACAATTACCAAATACTATCTCTTACATCATCTCTGATGTATCAGTAGAAAAGTCTTATTTAACACAAGAATTTTGTAATATCACTAAATCTTATAATATCTTTCTCAGGAATATTAAGATGTCCAAGAAAAAAAATTTAAATTCAAGTCTCACCAGCTTGTGATGGGAGCAGGATCACACAATGAGTAAGAAGAACCCAGGAGTCATCAGATCTCCATCCTCAAAACTGGATCTCTTGACACCCAGTGCCCATTTATAGACTTTTATAAAAACACTTTTCATAGTTACAGTTTCCCTGTGCTCTATCTCTGCATCAAGATACACTACTTTCTTGTTGTGATGCTTTGGTGACAAAGCATTGTGAAGACTATGGAACTGAGCATCTAGCAGTCATGGGACTGTATGACCCTTATTTGTTTATACATCTAGTCACAGCCTCTCAGCTTCTGAAAGTTACCAAATAGTTTAGACTAGGAAGGGGAGGATGACTACACTGACATTAATTCTGTTCCTTGTTCTAAAGAATACAAACATTACACCGGCAGAAGACACACACAGGTCCCCTAACAAAACAAGTTCTGCACTATGTTCACTGTTCTTCAGGTAATTCAAATGAGGTAAAACTTTACATTACATATGGTGTTCAAGCCAGGCAAGTGCCGTTTTCTTGTGTGCAGCTACCCCGTCAATTCTTCATCTGGGTATTACAGTCCTGCATAATGTCTACATTTTTCTTTCATTATCTGCTATAAGAGGATGGTCCTGGGAATTATGATGCTGAGACAGCCAAACAACTCCACCTGCATCCAGTCTAGGTAGGAGCAATATGATATAGGCAGTCTACAAGTGAATGCAGATCCAGAAGGCTGCTCAGCATGAGACCACACCACAGGCAAGCGGGCAATCTTCCTCTCAGAGCTGAGCTGACCTGTGTATAACCACATCCACTTCTGCTCAGGCTACATAACCCATTCTTTACTCAATCAGACCTGACTGCACAAAGCCACTTCTACCATGCTCACCACAGCACAACTGCTCTGCAAACCATGCAGACCACAGGACAAGTGATTTAATTTCCAATAGTATCAAAAATATTGAACTACCATCTCTATCATTGCCAGAATCAGTAAATTGTGAAGACAGACACTGAAGTGCCTGAAACAGGTTTAGCAGGGCAGTCACAATCAGTGTGGAAATGAGGAAATTAAGATTTACATGTAATCTAAAAATGAATTCTTAACTGACAGCACCTCAAACATTCAAGCATTAACCCTGATACATTCATATGGCTTTGTTAACTGCACTCCTGCAGATGGACATGGTTTTCTAGAGCTCTTCTGTTATCTCTGAACTGCCACCTGAAGGGCGAAAACTGTTCACAGGTTCCAAGTTAAGGTATTACAATGAGACTCATTTCAATTTGCAGCTTCAATGCAGAGGAAAAGGATGTAGAGAGAAAAACATTCCAGCCACTGACAGTATTTCACAAGAAGCTTTAACAGGTGCTTTTCCTGTATCAGCACCAGTAATTCTTTGTTTTTCTTCTATTCTCATCCTCTGCCACAAAGTTGCAATGATACTGATGAAGTAACACTACTCTAGTCCTCCCTTCCCTTACCCAAGAAAGGCAGGAATCAATCCTGAGGGGCTTTTACTTCTGGCACCAAGCACCTGCCAAATGTGATCACTCCAAGGACAGCGTTGAGATGAGAAGGAGGAAGTTGCACAAGGACAGCCTAAAAGTGATCCCCCCAGAAGGACAGAAGCCACACACACAACAGAACAGCAAAAGCTTGCCTGACCTTGATTTTAATATGGATCATCAAAACAGGGCCTCTCCAACCTCCTAACTTGTGGGATTTTAAGTTGGAGGTGTCAGAAAAGTTCCTGTAGGGGTACCCAGCCCTGTGCAGCCAGAAATTCAAATTGTCAGGAGGAGAAGTTGCTGTGACACTGCCTCTTCCCACCATGACAAGTTGTGCTTCCCATCACAAACTGTTGGACTGCTCACCCACTAGCAGGGAGCAACAGCTGGGTTTAGGTTTGGGAAATAGGCTACTTCTACCCTTCCGATGGTGATGTGAAATTTATAAGCAAAGTCACGTTTTCCCAGCAGCTGGAGCACAAAAGAACATTTGTACTAAATGTTGAATTAGCAGCTAAAGTCTTGCTAAAATTGCAGTTCAAAATCCATTGATACTAGCTTATATCCTGTTTCTATACAAGTTACTGGGAAGATAACTCCTTTGTATTTCAAACCAAAAGGAACATACTGAGAAGACTTTTACCCCTACTTTAAGCACAATCTTTTAAAAGTAAACAAAGTGTGGGAAAAAAATGTAAAGAGAAAAACAACCTTACCTGGGTAATAATTTTTTCCATTTGAGGCTGAGTCATATCTGGAATAGTGGTTTTAAGAAAATCAACAATGTTCTCAAAACTCTCACACCCCATTATAGATGTTTCTTGACTGCTAAGTAGGCTCAGTGCTACTTTAAATATGACTTCTGTTCCTTGAAGAAAAATAATGTCTAAAAAAGAAAAGCATTAAAATATCTTTAAAACAAGGGCTAAAGTAATTGGATAAATATATATATATATATTTGCTGAGATGCTTTTCTTTTCAATCCATCATGCTGCAGATTTATTCAGTTCAGAAGTGCAATCTGTCTTATTTCAACATGAGGTTAAAGCACATAAAAGCATTTTCTGTCATCTTACAGATGTGAGAGAGCATTAAAGAACATACCACATGCTTGTTATGTCTGTAACCGTGATCTGCAATAAGCATTTCTTTACTGACTACCGTAGACTATAGGCTGCTAACTAATTGGTAACTGTTTTTAAGTGCATCTGTGACTGAAAAGCAATTGGGAAGTGGATCACAACAAAGTACTGACGCTTTACCATTTTCTACGGGGAGATGCCAGTTGCTAAAAACCAATCACGTAGACACCATAACCAATCATACTATTTTCAAAATGCATAGTGGTGATCACATTGGCTATAATTTAATCCCCAAACTCTTCTGATGTATAATCATGTGGATGTGAGTGGAAAGTCTGAGCTCTGAAGAAATCAGTAGACACAGACTGCACAGAAACTGGAAATGTGATCACAGTAACTAGAAACTTGGTTTCAGTAGCAGCAGAGGACTTGCAGTTACTGAGCTGAATGTAGCATTGAGCAGTTCAAATAAGCCTCCTGTGCTGCTGGCTCTGTTACACCACCAAGACCAGGGCTACACAACTGAACAAACTTCTGATACTGAGAGGTCACCCCTGGCTCTAATTCAGTATCACAGGGTAGCACCGGGACACTGATGAGGCAGCCACCTCACTCACACAGTTTCTAAAAGCCTCCCCTTCTCAAGTCTATGGTGTACATTTGAGCAGCACAAACATAAGTGTGTAATCTGCGATGACTAGACATTAACCATCTGTTCCTGTTATGTGACAAACGCCCATAAGACACTGAAGATGCAGGAATCCAAAGCATTAGGAAGTAAAACAACAGTGATTTTTAAGTTTTAAAATGGGAACATGCCTTGCTCAGCTCATTTACAGAGAAATGAATACTGATCCTCCCCACTCTTAAGAAACTTGTTTTCCAAATTCAAAGCCCATTGAAGGGGAAAAAAAAATAAGAAAGAAAAGAACACTTTAGCCTTGAAAAATAAATTTAAAAAAGAAAAAAAATAAAGAAGTGCTTGAGTGTCCCAGAATTCAATAATCCCACTGGGAAAGAGATGTATCAGTCACGTGAGTACCACCAAAAAACAGATACACCAATCATTTGTTCACCCAAAGAGCAGAGAGACTTTAACTCTGTAATGGAGAAATCACTAGGTCAAAAAAAAAATTAAAACCAATACCAACCAACGAACCCCCTTTTCCCCTCCAAACCACCACACCAAACAAATTAAAAACCTAACACACTCCAGTAATAAAACATGAGACAAGTCAAGCTGAATTTCTTAAAAGACAAAAGGTGCTATAGGAAAACAGAAAAATCAAAGGAAAAAAAGTCTGACTTAAGAGGAAATACATGACATAAGCTCCTAGCTTTGTGGTGCACAGCTGAGTCCAGTAAGTTTTACATTAATAAAAAAAAAAAAATAAAAATAAAAAATAAAAGCTGCATTACTAACTAGAGATTCGATTAAGCTGGCAGGTCTCACTGACAATAAAAGAATACAAAACCAAGTACTTGACATGCTGATAATGTAAACACTACAAAGCACAATCAATAAGTTTCTGTACTGGACATTATCTGAAGAGGAACATCCATGAAAAAACTATCTAAATGCAATAGGAGGCATACTAAGACTAGGAAACTCATATATATATATATATATATAACTAAATCAGCCTTTAAGTTCAAGTTTACTTTAATTTTTATTAGAAAGTACTTTAAAATCAGTTATTCAGAAACACTTCCTTGAAAACCAATGGCTTACCTTTTTTTAATTTGCAAGTGCAACAAGATTAACTTTTCTATAGACAAAGACTGAA